GGAACCTAGTGGAGGGGAGCTATGGGGGGAAAAAGGAACAACTGTAATAATCTGAACAATAAAGATTTAATTAAAAAAAACCTCAAGGACACAGACAACAGTACGGTAATTACCAGAGAAATGAGGGTTGGGAGCAGGTGAAATATGGTAAATGGGGAGATAAATGGTGATGGAAGGAGACTAGACTTTGGATGATAAGTGCATAATGCAATGTGCAGATGATGTATTGTAGAATTGTACACTTGAAACCTATGTACTTTTATTGACCAATGTAACCCCAATAAATTCAATTAAAAGTAAAATAAAGAATGGAAAAAAATGCAAATAATTTATTTTTATGCCTGGCATATTTTTCTTTTTCAAAAAATTTTAAAATATTTTTTAACTGATTTGAGAGAGAGCGAGAAAGAAACATTGACTTGTTCCAAATTATTTATGCATTCGTTGGTTGATTTTTGTATATGCCCTGATTGGGGATCGAACCCTAAACCTTGGTATATTGAAACGGTGCTCCAACCAACTGAGCTATCTGACCAGGGCTATCTGGCATATTTTTCTATTAACTTATCCTAATTTACTGAAGAGTATCACTTCTTTAGCCTTTTGATATAGAAAATTTAAAACAAAGTAGGCCCTTGCCAGTAGCTCAGTTGGTTAGTATTGTCCCAATACACCAACGTTACGGATTCGATACCGTCAGGGCATGTGCTATTGTCAACCAGTGAATGCATAAATAAGTGGAACAGCAAGTCAATGATCCTCTTTCTCTAAAATCAATAAAAATAAATACATAAACAAAATTAAATAATGAACCCTTTTGTACCTGGCTGTCACCCAACTTCAATAATCAACATTTTTCCATTCTTGTATCATCTGTACCTTCATCTACTTTCCATCTTCTACTTGATGACTGTAGGAAGTGGGCCTCTGTGATCCATCTCCAGCATAGTCAACTTTTAATTGAAATGGTTACTGAATTTCCCCAGGGCAAACAGGATGTAGGGAGGAGGGAAAAGGATATAAGAACAAAGAACTATGTACCTGAGCAGGTATCTTGGTGAGAAACTCCCCCCTCCCCAGATGCCCGCCTCAGCTAGATAAGGGGAGATGGAGACAACTAGAAAATGCCTCCGCCCATTTTTTTAACTAACCCAGTAGGAGACAATAAGACCTAGGTGACATATGAGGAAACTATTAACCTCATAGTACTCAGCCAATGAGGAACCAGAGGAGGGACTCTCACACCCTAAGGGGATAAATGGGCTGTGATCGCTAATCCATGTGTGCCTGTACAACTGGTCACCTGCTCTCAAGAATGTATTAAAAGTCTGGTTTTCGCCATACTTCTGTCTCTGAGTCCGTTATTTGAATCCAGACAGGTGAGCATTTCTCATGATGATGACGATGATTTTTTTACCTACACTGAAGTGTATAAATCTTAGTTGTAGGATTTTGACAAATGAATCTGTCCATGTAATCCACACATTTATCAACATGCAGAACATTTTCCATTTTCATCTTCCCAAGCAGTAGACTTCTGTCCTAAGGCAACCATTATCCTGATTTTTTTCATTTTAGATTAATGTTTCCTCTTCTAGAACTTGATATAAATGGAGTCATACAGTATATACTATTTTTGTACTAACTATTTTTAAGCAGTTTCAATCATTTTGTTGCCTGAGCTAAGTACTATTCCACTAACTAAATGGATATATCACAATTTGTTTTTCTTCTGATGGTAAACATTTGGGTTGTGTCCAGTTTTAGGTTACTATGAATAAATATTCTCTATGAACAGGTTTAGTCACTTTTATATTTGCTTGTAATATATACTGTTTTTGAATTAAAATGGCACCTAATTAAAAACCCAATAATTTATAAGTTTTAAGACTGATCTTTATCCCTCCACCTTAATACATTTTTCTGAGTTAGTATTATGCTTCAGCAAATATCCATTTCACATTTAAGTTTATATAAAACTGATACCTAATAGTTAAGAATTCTTGATTTTGTCAGAAATTGAATGATACTTTTTTAAAATATGTCTTTATTGATTTTAAAGAGAAGAAGGGAGCGGGGAGAGAGAGAGCGAGACATTGATATGAGAGAGAAACGTTGATCGGTTGCCTCCCATACATGACCAGGGACCAAACCCTCAACCTGGGCATGTGCCCTGACTGGGAATTGAACCAGCAACCTTTCTACATATGAGCCACACCGGCCAGGACTGAATGATTCTTTTTTGAACAACAACACAAAAAAACATTTTCTCTGAAAAAATCATTTTACTTTCCACTAAACTAGTAATGCCTCTTTTTTCTTTTTCATTTGTTTTTCATTTTCTTTTCCAGAAGTGAGTCACTGAGTCCTGAGTTGGTGGCTGCTGCATCTGCTGTTGCAGATTCTCTCCCTTTTGACAAGCAGACAACCAAGTCAGAGCTGCTCAGGCAGCTTCAGCAGCATGAGGAAGACTCAAGGGCACAGAAAAATGGAGAAAGACCTAAAATTAGGTTAGTGAATCAAATAGTATGTCAAATAGTAATACTGGTATCTCAAAATAGGCTGTTTTCATGTAATTGAGTTATATACATAAATATTCATTTAAACAACTGATGTATTAAGTAAAATTACAATTAAGTGATTAATTTTTATTTTCAGAAGTTACACAATTTCTTGTTCCTTAGAAAAAATGATAAATTTAGTGATGTTACTAAAAATAAATAAAGAATAAGACAGTTTCTCTGAGAAGATTAATTTTTTCTCATTAAATAATTTTCTGGTGTTATGCACAATATGATAATCTTCAAGCCTGTTTTCTTTTTCCCTCTTATTAAGTTTTAGCTGACATTCTTCCACTTCTCTCATCTCTCATTACTTTATACCAAGTTATACCACTTACTGCTGAAATGTAGTCAGGGGTGGCACTGCTTTGTTTTGCAGAGCAATCTAAGTCAGTAGTTCTCAATGAGCATATTGTAAGACTTCTCTCAGGAAGTTAAAAAAAAATACAGATGACTTGACTGTCAGATCACTCATTTATTTGTATTTGAACAAATGCAAGGCAATAAATATGGCTAAATTTCAACTTTAATTTAGTTTTAATCTATGTGATAAGTATACAGATACTGATTTTATATCAACTGCTCTAGATGCTTGATAATTTTACATAGGTGACACTTTTATTTTTTTATTTTTAAAATTTATTTTTATTGATTTCAGAGAAGAAGGGAGAGAGAAGGAGAGATAGAAACATGATGAGAATCATTGATCAGCTGCTTCCTGCACGCCACGCACTAGGGATCAAGTCTGCAACCCAGGCATGTGCCCTGGCCGTGACCTCATGGTTCATAGGTCAGTGCTCAACCACTGAGCCAAGGCAGCAGGCAATAAGTGACACTTTTAATTTATATTTTAAATGAACACATCTGAAGAGCATCTTCTTTTTTTCTCTTTTTACTTTTTTTTATTGTCTATACTATTACAGATGTCCTCATTTCCCCCCACTTTGACATCTTTAGAACACAGAAGGAAACAAATCTTAGTGGTCTGTGGATTGTGAATGTTAATATGTAACATATAATCTTTTATTTAAATGTAAATTATGTTGTATTACTGCATAGGAATGAAATAAAAATTAAATGATATGAGTCATGTTTTCTATTATTCAGTAGATAAAATTTATAATACACTTGATTTTTTCTTATTTCAGTTTCAGTAACATAATATCAGATATGAAAGTTGCCAAATCTGCCACAGCTAGAGCTAGTACAAGACCAGTTCATCAGATTCAGTTTGATGAAGGATCTGACAATTATGTTGGCCAAGAGAAGACCGTCGATCTTAGAAAAAGGTATTGAAACTTTGCAGTCTATCTGGTTTTGTTTGTTTCACTGTAGTTTTACTTTATTGCTATGTATATTATTGCTGATAGGTATCTGAACATTATGAATGTATTTATATCTTTCTCCTTATTCTCCATTTACCATTTCCTAGAGAGGGGAAGATTATTTTTTATTCATTGATTGATTTAAGAGAGAGAGAGAAACATTGATTTGTTGTTCCATTTATTTATGCATTCATTGGTTGATTCTTGTATGTGCCCTGACCGAGGGATCACACCTGCAATCTTTGCTACCCAGCCAGGGCTAGGGAAAGATCTTCTGAATTTAACATACCTAAACTTTTATTTACCTTAAATTAAAATGGTCCCTGCCGTACACCTGGGGAATAAAGGTCTCCTGATTTAGAATAAGTAGAGCTGACTGTATTCTGAACAAATGAACATTTTGAGAGAAACATTATTTTTCATTCTGATATATGCCTAATAATGTATGTTCATATACCTTTTTTATCTCTATATAATAATCTTTTTTCATACCTTAGAGAATTAACTCACTGTCAAAGAAAAGAAGATCCTATAATACCATACAGTGGTAGATTACTTGTGGTAATTTGAATTTAGAAATTTGCAGTTCTTAGAGATGCTAAGCCCTGTCTTACATATTTTATTATAGAAAGCTATCTGTATTTACATAAAGTTTCTGGTTTCTTTTGTTCTCTCACAAGCCCATAAAGTGATAGTTGGGGAACCAGATATTTAGCATGGTCTGACAAAAACTAACTGAACTTTATAGCATATGGGCTCACAAATGGAATGTTTTTGATGTATATTTTATGGATTTTAAGTACAATCTCCGCAATTTGAGTTAGTTCCTTCCAAGTGTTAAATTACTAATTTGTACAGGAAGATTAGAAAAGATGGTCAGCAATTAACAAAAGAAGTTCAAAAGGTTATAGTGACTTTGGAAGAATATTTGAATTACTAATTTAAAGTGATTTTTACAGCTATGATATATTATTGAATAAAGTAGGATGTGTATTAGAGTTTTACTTAAGATTCCTCAAGAATATTTAAATTGAATCTTTTTTTTAATCAGTCTTTGAGATAATTCCATGCAACTACATCAGAATGCTATACCATAGTTTAATTTTTAATGGTATTAGCTATCATTAAAAATTAGAAGGCAGCAGAGAGAAGCTAAAAAAGTAGGAAAGGGATTTATGTGCATACTAGAGGCCTGGTGCATGAAATTTGTGCAGCGGGGAGGGGGGGTGTCCCTAAGCCTGGCCTGCACCCTCTCCAATCTGGGACCCCTTGGGGGATGTTCAACTGCTGGTTTAGGCCTGATCCCGAACTGGCAGTCAGACATTCCTCTCACAATCTGGGACTTCTGGCTCCTAACCACTTGCCTGCCTGCCTGCCTGCCTGATTGCCCCTAACTGCATCTGCCTGCCAGCCTGATCACCCCCTAACCACTCCCCTGCCAGCCTGCTTGATGCCTAACTGCTCCTCTGCCAGCCTAATCGCCCCCAACTGCCCTCTCCTGCTGGCCTGATTGCCCCCAGCTGCCCTCTCCTGCTGGCCTGATTGCCCCCAGCTGCCCTCTCCTGCTGGCCTGATTGCCCCCAGCTGCCCTCTCCTGCTGGCCTGATTGCCCCCAGCTGCCCTCTCCTGCTGGCCTGATTGCCCCCAGGCTCCCCTGCCAGCCTGGTCACCCCCAACTGCCCCCCCGCCGGCCTGGTCACCCCACGCAGCCTGCTGTTCAGTCATTTGGTCGTCCCTCACCCCCCTGCCGGCCTTGTTGCCCCAATCAGCCTGCTGTTTGGTCGTTACTGTGACGGTGTCCTGGACAATTTGCATATTTCTCTATTATTAGTATAGGTAATGACTGTGTTAAAAAGCTGATTAAAGAATTCTAGAAAAGGGGAAGCAATGGTGGGATAGCAAGTTGTTCACCCTGCTCTGACTTGGGACAGACTGAGAGTCCAGGCTGTTCTGATTTTTTTTTCAGTTAGAGACAGAGAGGTGTGAGTCACAGAGCATTGACTTTAGAGTCACACTAGTCCGCCATAGAATTTTAGCACTGTGCCACTGACTAATTCTGTGACTGGGGAAATCGTTTTGTTTCTCCATCTATAAAATGCTGAAAGTGAAGCCTGGCTTAATGTCTTTCTTGAATAATAGGAAAGAAACATGTATAAACCATATTTAGTAGTTGCACAGCAAATTGTCTGTTTCCTTCCCTTCCTCTTTACTACATTGTGCTTTTAAAATTCCATACTTTGCTGAATCATTCCCTCTTTACTGTGAGTTACTTTAATCCATCAATCTGTTCACTTGACTTGAGGTTGAGGAATGCTTGGTAGGGAGAAGAATGCAAGACACTGAGGATAGTTCTGGAGCACAGATGCCTATGTTTACAATACTTGGGAACTTGCTAGAGGGAAATATGTGATGTAAAATCACCTTGTCTAATTTTAATATGGACTTTACATTTTTCTGTTGAATTTAGTAGAAAAAAAGTAATTTGATCCAGAAAATAATTCAAAATTATTTTTAAAATTAACCCTACCTTTTAAAAAAATATGAGAAGGAGAGAGAGAGAGATAGAAACATTAATGAGAGACACATATATTAGCTGCCTCATGCACATCCCCTACTAGGGATTGAGTCCGCAATGGAGGCATGTGCCCTGTCCAGGAATTGAACCTATGACCTCTCAGTGCTTGGATCAATGCTCAACCATTGAGCCATACCAGCCAGGCTAACCCTATCTTTATAAATTGGCTTTAATCTGCCAGTAAATGTACTCAAACATGAATGTGAATTGAGGGATACAGCAGTTGATTAAAATATACAAGGAAAAGTTACCTGACATTAATTTCAATAGTTAAAAATAGTTATGTAAAGAAAGTTCATTATTATTTTAAAATTACAGAACAATTGTTTAGTTTTTGTTTTGTTTTTTAAATTTTTTAAAATTTATTTCAGAGAGAGGAAGGGAGAGATAGAAACATCAGTGATGAGAGAGAATCATCAGTCAACTGCCTCCTTCATGCTCTCTATTGGGGATTGAGCCTGCAACCCGGGCATGTGCCCTGGCTGGGAATCAAACCATGACCTCCTGTTTCATTGGTTTATGTTCAACCACTGAGCCACACCGGCCAGGCCAGAACCATTGCTTTGTAAGTGGGAATGTTTTGATTTATCTGTGCAATCATTTATAATTATAATTTCTAATTAAGCATGCAGCCTGGTCAGTGTGGCTCAGTGGTTGAGCATCGATCCATGCACCAAGAGGTCATTGGTTCAATTCCCAGTCAGGGCACATGCCCGGGTTGCGGGCTCAATCCTCAGTAGGCAGGTGTGCAGGAGGAAGCCAATCTGTTTCTCTTTCATTGATGTCTCTATCTCTTTTTCTTCTCCCTCTCCCTTCTCTCTCTAAAAATCAATTTTAAAAGCACACATACGTATTTTAAAAAACAGGCTGTATTTTCTGCCTTTAAGACAATTGCTGACTTTAGCAACATTTTTGTGTGTGCGGGGGGCCTCTTTGGGGTCATTTTGTTTGGGACTCTTCACTTCCTAGACTTGTATGTCTATTTCCTTTGCCAGGATAGGGAAGTTTTCAGTCATTATTTCTTCAAATAGGTTTTCAATCCTTCGATGTTTCTCTTCTTGTACCTCTGGATGCAAATGTTGTTATGCTTTATGTTGTCCCAGAGGTCCCTTAAACTATTCTCATTTTCTCTTATTCTTTGTTCTTTTTGCTGTTCTGATTGGGTGTTTTCTGCTACCTTATCTTCCAAACCAGTGATATCCTCTGCTTCATGTAATCTGCTATTGATTCCATCTAATGCAGCGGTTCTCAACCTGTGGGTCGCGACCCCTTTGGGGGTCGAATGACCCTTTCACAGGGGTCGCCTAAGACCATTGGAAAACACATATATAATTACATATTGTTTTTGTGATTAATCACTATGCTTTAATTATGTCCAATTTGTAACAATGAAAATACATCCTGCATATCAGATATTTACATTACGATTCATAACAGTAGCAAAATTACAGTTATGAAGTAGCAACAAAATAATTTTATGGTTGGGGGTCACCACAACATGAGGAACTGTATTAAAGGGTCTCGGCATTAGGAAGGTTGAGAACCATTGATCTAATGTATTCTTCATTTTTGTTTTTGTATTCATTTCTGACAAGTTATTTTTTTATGACTTCTATCTTTTTGTGTAAGTTCTCACTGAGTTCATCTACTCTTCCCCTAAGTTCATTGAGCATCCTTATAACCAGTGTTTTGAACTCTGCATCTAGTAGATTGCTTGCCTCCATTTTGTTTAGTTCTTTGTCTGGAGATTTGATCTGTTCTTTCATTTGAGACATGTTTCTTTGCCTCCTCATTTTGGCTGCCTCCCTGTTTGTTTCTATGTATTAGGTGGATCTGATCCATCTCCCAGTCTTGGCAGGGTAGCCTTATGTGGTAGGTGTCCTATGGGGCGCAGTGGCACAGCCTTCCTGATCACCTGAGCCAGGTGCTCCAGAAATGTTCCTTGTATGGGTTGTGTTTACCTTCTTGTTGTGGTTAAGTCTTGATTGCTATGGCACATCAGTGAGTGGGTGGGATTGACCTTCAGACTGACTGGTTGTGAAGATTGGCCATGACTACAGCAGACAAGCTGTTGTTTGGGGGCTGACCCCACAGAGTGGGATTTGCTGTAGCAGGGCTCTGATGCCTGCTATGTCATTTGTGGAACTAATTGGGTGATGCTCTGGTGTGGTCTGAAGCTGGCCTCTTGGTGTGTTGGTTCTGGGGCCTCTTGGGGGTGGGGTGCAGGTATCATTACAGGCCTAAGTCAGCTGCTACCTGTGCCCAACCCTGAAGCCACTTGGTAGGACCTACAAAGTGAGTGTTTGGTAGCTGCCTCTGCTGAGTTTGGAGGTGCCTGGGAGAGGCTAGGCTCCAAACCAATGCCAGAAGCCAGCTGCCAATAGTGCTCGGCTGGGGACTACTTAGCAAGAGATATAGGGCACACTGAGGCTGGCCACTTCTTGTTTGGGGTTGTTTGGAACCTTTCAGAGATTTTAGGTAAGTCTACATTGAGGGCTGAGGCCAGCCACTTGTGAATAACAGCCACTGAAAGGTTCTGCCATGTGCACAAGTTATGTGGGGTGGGTTCTCAGGGAATTACCAGGGTGAACAAGTTTGATGGAGACTCAGATATGGCACTAGCAGGCTGGATAGGGGGAGGGCTCAGCAAAAGGACAATGGCACCTGCCAGCACTTTTAGTACTGGAGAGAACTGCTCCTCCAACCTACACCCCGAAGCCAGACAATTCAGTCTTCCCTGTTTGTTCCTGGTGCTTTGAGCAACTACCCCAATGCTGTAGTTCAAAGTCAGTGAGTTCCTTAGTGAATAAGCCCTTTAAGAGGAAAGCCTGGAACTCTAGCAGACCTCCCTCTCACCCAGGCAGAATCCAAGCTAATTCTCATAGCCAGATGTTGTGGGGACTCCTATTCCTGCCACTGATGGTCTAGGCCAGTGGTCAGCAAACTCATTAGTCAACAGAACCAAATATCAACAGTGCAACAATTGAAATTTCTTTTGAGAGCCTAATTTTTTAAACTTAAACTATATAGGCAGGTACATTGTTATTAACTTAATTAGGGTACTCCTAAGGCTTAGGAAGAGCCACACTCAAGGGGCCAAAGAGCCGCATGTGGCTCGCGAGCTGCAGTTTGCTGACCACTGGTCTAGGCTGGATGCCCGGTATTGGGCTGGGACTCCTCACCCTCAGGGAGGACCTCTACATCGGAGCTATCCCTCCCGATTTATAACCAACACATGTGAGTTTGGGACCAGTCCTTTCAAATCTCCGCTTCTTCTATCAGTATCATGGAGGCTACTCCTTTTTATTCTTAGTGATAGGAGTTCTATTTTGTTAGTCTTCTGGTGTTTCTCAAGGGTGGTTGTACTATAATTTAATTGTACGTTTTTTTGTTAGTTGTGTAATTTTGATATGGTCTCAGGAGGAAGTGAACACAGAGTTAACCTACTTTGACATCTTGACCAAAGTTCTAGATTCATTTATGACAACTTCGAATTTTGCATATTTTGATAGTTTCCCACAACATTGAGATTTCTAAAACATTAATATGAGATGGAGCAAATAAAAATTATGGCAAATTAGGCTAATCTTTACAATTAGGTATTTTGGAAATTAGGCTTTTAACTGTTTTGTTGTATTATGATGTAAAAATTCAAGTTCATCTGTTCCTATTTTTAGTTACTAGTCTTAAAGATATGGCAGTTTAATTAAAATGTCTGGTGTCATCAGTGGAATTACTTTTATATCTACATTGAATACTTTATATAAATTTTTTTTCTCATAAACAATTTTTATTGGCAGTGTATAAATACTCGTTGAATAAATTATTTTTTCTTCTTTAATTTTAGGAAAAGTATATTTAAGGGAAAGAGACTTAATATTTTTGATGTTAAGGCAGCTACTGAAGAGGCACCTGAAACAGGTTTGTTAAGAAAAGAACAACACTATTTCTCATGTATTGAAAAATTCTATCTTTCATAAATGTCCTTAATGTTTGATTGCATAATAATCAGGTATTTAAATATTCCATCCTGTCATTGGCATGGATCCTGCTTATGAATGTACTTGCTGACATTGCTAGCCTTGGTCATATTTTCCTCTTGAAATGTTTCATTCTGTGAGGCAATGGGAAGTAAGGGGTGACTACCAGCCACATGAATCCAGAGCTATAAATTGGCTACTAATTTGGAGTAGAACATTGATCTCCCACCATTTGCAGTGTACCTGTGTACTATTGCAGAAAGATACACTGGTTTCTGCCGTAAGGCATCTCACTGTCTAGAAGAGGAGATAGCATTGGTAGACCTAACTTACTGATTTAGTGATTGCGTAGGAGATGGGATGAGGAGCATTCAAGGAATATATTTAGCAGACCTGTAGTGTTTTTTTCTTAGTGCACAGTCTGTTCTCTGTTTTTTTCTCCTTTCTTCTTTAGGCAAGAAGTCAAATCCTTCAAATTTGCCATTTTAAGTCTAATTAAAGAGAAATAAGAATATCTTTTTGCTTAGCATTAAGTTTGATTTACTGATAAAATAACTGAAGAAACTCAATACAAATGGTCTCCAGCTTACAAGTTACTTCCAATTCTAAAGATTGTAAGCTTTTTGGACCTTGGTAGACATAATTTTATATTTAATATTTAAGTTCCTAGGCCCCCCCTCCAGTGACTCATGTAAACTTTCTATCATTTACTGATTTTCCTACTGTTCAATAAGCTCATGATATTAGGGGCTAGGTCTCAGTGATCTTTATATAGTAGCACCTAGCGAAGTGGCTTACGGATAATAGGAATTCGTTATTTTAAATCTTAAAATCCTTTTTTGAACAAATTGGGATAAACTATATATCCATAAAGGAAAGGAGTTAATTCAATCAATGTTTATATGTTTAAATGAAGTTGAAGCTAAGAGAACACCCCACCCTGTATTGTGCCAACTGCATTCTGTCCTGTGTGATGAAAAGGAAATGCACAGGCATGGGGAAAGGATCACCTTTCCCCTAATGAAGTGGCAACTGTTAAGCTTGCCCAGAAAGGGAATTTGTTGTCAGGGCAATTGCTATTGTCCATCTAATGAATAGCCAGAAGAGACACTTGGATTCTTGAAAGAGCCAGCTTGCTTTTTTAAAATCAGAAATATTATTTCTAAAACTGAAATTAGCTAGCAAGGAGGTAATAAAAGTTATATGTATTTTACAAAATAGTATAAAATAATGAAACTCTAATAAGGAAAGTAATGCACACATTTATGTCAATTTACTCTAAGGAAGGTATTGTTTTAATAAGCTATATTACATTTGAATGTCATTTTCCCCCAACTAAATACAAGAATAGCAATAATGTGCAAACCTAAATTTAGTATTTATTCACTGTTGTTTCCCTACCACCTAAAATAATGCCTGACTTATACAGTGGGGCCTTGACTTATGAGTGTCCCGACTAACGAGTTTTTCGAGATACGAGCCATCTCTCGGCCGATTTTTTGCTTTGAGTTGCGAGCTAAAATTCGGATTACGAGCCAGCTTCAGATACCCCACCGTTAGGTGGCGCAGCGAACGTCACAGTGAACGCCACAACATCAGCCCAGCATCACGTGTCTCACTTGTTCACTTTTTGATTTGACATACGAGTAATTTGAGTTACGAGCTCCATCACGGAACGAATTAAACTCGTAAGTCAAGGCCCCACTGTAGTTGGCATTCAATAATTATTTACTGAACAAATGAATGAGTTCTTCTGTCCCATGATTGCCACATTTTGCTCCCCACTAAGTTCTTACCAGTGCTGCAAAGAATATAGTGCTATACCCTATTGCTTATCCTGGAGAGATTTGGTTTGGGTATCTGGATTATTCAGCCTCAGATTATGCCATACTAACCTCTCTGAGTTTCCCGTCCATCACTTATAAAATGGGGCTAATCTCAAAGATTAAATAAAATAATATAATTAAAGAGTCAGGCATAATGCCTGAATCATAGTGCACATTCAATAGATAGTCGCAGCTATTAACATCAATCTTCTATATATATAAAAGGCTAATATGCAAAGTGTCCCCTTGAGAGTTCAATCACTCGCTATGATGTGCGCTGACCACCAGGGGGTAGCGCAGAACAAAGGAAGGTGTCAGCCGGCAACTGGGGAAGGAAGGCCCCGGCCAGCAGCTGGAAGGCCCCGATCGGTCATGATTGCCAGCCAAGCTTAGGGACTCTACCCATGCACGAATTTTGTGCACTGGGCCTCTAGTTAATAATGATGAAACATCAGGAATGGTGGTGTTCGAGATCCTCTCCTCCTGAAATTACAACAAGTTAACTAGCTATAATTCAACAAAGAAGTCTCTGCTCAATACAGAGGCATGCCTGAGAAACTCCTATATTGAAACATCTAAAGATGGGTAACCAGGAATAAACAGGGAGATGAGAAGGGAGGAAAAAGTTCACAGCCCACAGACATAGCCCTGTAGCTGGTGTGGAGAAGGGAGGAAGCTGGCGCTGGGAGGCACTTTCTTCAGCCGGGAGGAACAGAGAACATTGGGGGGCAGTACAGCAGGGTGAACAGTGTCTAAGTCAGCAGATGCCTGATAGAGCACAGGGTTCTTCCATGCAGTTCTCCACAGTTGGGGCAAACTGTGGTGCTTCAGACAAAGAAACAGAACCACAGAGCCCTGGCACTTGTTGGACTCCCCAAACTCGCCTCTGGTTGCCCTTGGAGTTGGTGCAAGGAGCATATTATCTGTAAACCAAGAACAATGATAGTAGAACTGCTGTTTCCCTCTGTGACAGATCCCCAGGTGGGGAGCTTGAGGTGGGACTCCCATGGAGGTCAGGGGTCACCAATACAGTGAGTGCAAAACCAACCCCACCCCAACAGCACGGCTGTACTGTCTTACGAAAGCCATGGAGGTCAAGACTAGGAGATCACAGAACTAAAAAATCTTGTAATGCAGCACCATCTACTGGAAAATAGTAGAAAGACCTCTACAAAGGAAGCTGGTATATAAATGCCTAGGCAAAGGAAAACCGCAAATACCATGAATAGCCACAGTAATGAGGATGATCAGAAAGAAAATGGAAAATCCCCAGTAAGTCAACTGGAACACATGGAAATATGTGATATAAATGACAGATTTCAAGATTGCATTTCTAAAAATACTCAACAAGATGTGAGAAAATACAGACAGGCAATTAAATGCACCCAGAAAAAAGAAAATGAACAAAACAAGTATTTTACCAATGAAATTGAAACTTTAAAAAAGAACCAATCATACCCAGCCAGCATGGGTCAGTGGTTGAGCATCAACCTATGAACCAGGAGGTCAGGGTTCGATTCCTGGTCAAGACACATGCCCAGAGAGCAACAGAAACTAAGAGGAGCTCAAACCGTTATAGTCTCGCTTTCAGAACTTTCAGAAAACATCACAGCCCTGCCAATACCTTGATTTGAGCCCAGAAAAACGTCCAACCCACAGAACGGTCAAACTTCAAATGAAGGCCGGTCTTTGAGCGACAGCGACGCAAGATGGCAGCCAGCATGGGCTCAGGAGTAAAAGTCCCTCGCAATTTTCGACTGTTGGAAGAACTTGAAGAAGGCCAGAAAGGAGGAGGAGATTTCACAATTAGTTGGGGTGTAGAATATGATGAAGACATGACACTTACAAGATGGACAGGGATGATAATTGGGCCTCTAAGAACAGTTTATGAAAACCGAATGTACAGCCTTAAAATAGAATGTGGACCTAAATACCCTGAAGTACCCCCTGTTGTAAGATTTGTAACAAAAATTAATATGAATGGAGTTTATAGTTCTAATGGAGTGGTGGACCCAAGGGCCATATTAGTGCTAGAGAAATGGCATCGTTCATATAGTATCAAACATGTCCTGCATGAGCTTCGGCACCTAATGATGTCTAATGAAAATATGTCACTCCCTCAGCCACCTAAAGGACAGTGTTACAGCAACTAATCAAAAAGAAAACCACAGGCCCACCCTTCCCCCATTCGATTTAAGCAGTCTTCAATTTCCACAGTAGTAACTTTTCTAGATACGTCTTGTAGACATCAAAGTACTGGAAAGGAAGCTCCTGTTCAAAGGCAGTTTATCTTAAGATACTGTAAGTGATACTAATTTGTTGTCCGTTTGAAATATATAAGTTGTGCTATCATAAAAAAAAAAGAAAGAAAAAGAGACACATGCCCAGGTTGTGGGGCTCAGTCCCCAGTGTGGGGCATGCAGAAGGCAGCCAATCAGTGACTCTCATCATTGATGTTTCTATCTCTCTCTCTCCATTCCTTTGTGAAATCAATAAAAATATATTTAAAAACACACACACACACAATCAGAAACCCTGGAAATGAAGCATGCAATTAAAGAGATTAAAAAGTGAACTGTGCAAAGAAAACAGAGCCAACAAGATGGAGAGAAGAATTAGTGATATCGAAGATAGCCACCTAAAAATGGTGCAGAGGGAAGAAGAGAGAGACCTGAGCATAAAGAAAAATGAAAGAGTTCCACGAGAACTATCTGACTTCATCAGAAAAAGCAATATTAGAATTATAGGCATTGCAGAGGAAGAAGAGGGAGCAGGGAACAGAGAGTCTATTCAAACAAAAAGTGGATGAGAACTTCCCAAACCTATGGAAAAAACTAGGTCCTCGAATCCAAGAAACAAAAAAGAACACCTAGTTACCTCAATCCAAAGAGGCCCTTTCCAAGGCACTTGGTATTGAAACTGTCAAAAATTGATGACAAAGAAGAAATTCTCAAAGCAGTCAGGGAAAAAAAGGAAGTGACCTGCAAAGAAAAACGCATCAGAATTTCATCTAACTTCTCAGCAGAAAATCTGCAAGCCAGAAGAGAGTGGAACCAAATATTCAAACATTTGAAAGAGAAATTACCAGCCACGAATAATATACCCAGCAAAATTATTCTTTGTATATGAAGGAGAAATAAAGATGTTCCCAGACATACAGAAGCTGAGGGATTTTAACACCAGAAAACCTCCATTGCAGGAAATACTCAAAGGGGTTATTCTACCTGAAACAAAGAACATAAGGTCACAATAATAAGAATAAGATCACCAAAAACTTACAGTATAAACGGATAATTTGTGACAACAAAAACATAAAAGGTCTGAACTAGCAAAGGAAGATGAAGATGACATGTACTCAAAAGAAAAAAAAAACTACACTATATGTGTAACTTCATTTTTTATAAATTTCAACAAAGGAGCCAGAAACACACAATGAACTAAATATAGTCTCTTCAATAATTGGTGTTGGGAAAACTGGAAAACCACATGCAAATGAATGAAGCTGGATTAGTTTGTCTCCATGTATAAAAATTAACTCAAAATGGATCAAAGACCTAAATATAAGACCTGAAACAATAATTTACATAGAAGAAACTATAGGTACCAAACTTATGGACCTTAGTCGTAGAGAACATTGTATGAACTTGACTCCAAAGGCAAGGGAAGTAGAGACAAAAATAAATGAATGGGACCATATCAAACTAAAAAGCTTCCGCACGGCAAAAGAAACTGAAATCAAAACAAAGAGGCAGTTAACCAGATGGAGATGATATTTGCAAACAGTTGCTCGGACAAAAGTTTAATTTCCAAAATATATAAAGAACTCAAAATCAACACAAAACAACCCAATCAAAAAAGTGGGCTGACGTCCTGAAAGCACATCTCTCCCAAGAAGACATACAAACAGCCAATAAATATATGAAAAGATGTTCAACCTCACTAGCAATTAAGGCAATGCAAATCAAAACTACAATGAGATATCGCCTCACACCTGTTAGAATGGTTATTATCAACAAGACAAGTAATAGCAAGTGTTGCAGAGGTTGTAGAAAAAAGGGAACCCTCATTCATTACTGGTGGGAATGTAGTCTGGCACAACCACTATGGAAAGCAGTCTGGTGATTGATCAAAAAAGTAAGAATAAAACTACCATATGACCCAGCAATCCCTCTCCTAGGTGTATACCAAAGAAACACAACAACCTGAAAAACATGTATTCACAAAGATATATGAACCCTTTATTCATTACAGCATTATTCATAGTGGCCAAAACATGTAAACAATCAAAGTGTCCTGCGATAAGAGGACTGGATAAAGAAGATGTGGTACGTGTACAAAATGGAATACTACTGAGCCATAAGAAAGGATGATATAGCACCATTTGCAACAACATGGATAGGACTTGAGAACATTATGCTAAGTGAAATAAGTCAAAAAAAGCTAAGAATCATATAATTTCACTCATGTGGGATATAAAACAAACTCATGAACACAAATAGCAGTGTGGTGGTTGCCAGAGGGAAGGGGGTGTTGGGAAAAGGGGTCCTAATATATGGTGACAGGAGAAGATTGGTGGACTTTGGGTGATGGGCACACTGCAATATATAGATCTTATAACATAGAAACCCACACCTGAAACCTATATGTTCATGTTGACCAATGTGACCCCAAGAAATTTAATTTTAAAAAACAAAATGAGGATGATCATTATCTTCATGAGAAGACAGGTTGATCAGTGTCTACTGAATGAATTTTAAAAAGTGTGACCATAATAAATTATTTACTGTTATTACTCTGTAAATATGGCTAATATGCCTAATTACTATGATCTTTTCTCTGTATCAGCTGTTCTAGGTCAACATACTTAATATCCAGCATTTGATGCTGGCTATTAGGCATGGTCATACATGAACTTTAATTTTAAGTCTTTGTATGGACATATGTTTTCTTTTGGGTAAATATTTAGGAGTAAAATGGTTGCATGATAAGTGTATTCTCAACTTTTAAAGAAACTGAGAAACTATTTTCCAAAGTGGTTGTACCATTTTACGTTCTCACCAGCAGTGACTCCTGGGAATATGACTCATTCTTGAAAGATGTCTTAAATTTTCAAAACAAGTGATTGAAATATTACATGATGGTATTTATAAGCTAATATTATACTACCTTACTAAGAGTTTGTTGTGAGGATTAAATGAACTAATATACAAAAAGCACTTAGTAAAGAGTAAGTTCTCAGTGTCCATTAGTAGTAGTGTTACTGTCATTATTATTATTATTATGTTAATTTTTCTTTGGTCTTTATTAGTAGTATGTTAGTGACTTAACAGACTAAAATAGGCTGGACTTTAAAGAACAGAGTCCCATGTTGTATTAAAATATTCATTTTTATAAAAATACTAGAGGCCTGGTGCACAAAATTCATGCACTGGGTGTGGGAGTGTCTCACAGCCCAGCCTGCACCCTCTCCAATCTGGGACCCCTCGGGGAATGTCCGACTGCCGGTTTAGGCTCGATCTCACAATCTGGGACTGCTGGCTCCCAACCGCTCACCTGCCTGCCACCCTGATCACCTCCTAACCACTACCCTGCCAGCCCAGTCACCCCCAACTGCCCTCCCCTGCCGTCCCGGTCGCCCCCAACTGTCCTCCCCTGCCGTCCCCGTCACCCCTAATTGCCCTCCCCTGCAGGCCCGGTTCCCCCCAACTGCCCTCCCTTTCTGGACTGGTCACCCCTACCTGCCCTCCCCTACTGGCCTGATAGCCCACAACTGCCCTCACCTGCCGGCCATCTTGCGGCTGTGGGCGCCGCCATATTTGAGGGCGTGGCAGTCAATTAGCATATTCCCTCCTTATTGGCTGTGGGCACCGCCATCTTTGCAGGTGGGGCAGTCAGCATATTCCCTCCTTATTGGCTGTGGGTGCCACCATCTTTGCAACAGCATGAGAGTCAATTAGCATATTCCCTCTCTATTAGATAGGATCTTTAAACAAAATATACATTTCTTTTTTTCTTTCCAGTAGAGAGGCCACTGAGACTTTAGTGATTGATTACCACTAAAAGTAAAAGTTAAGGCTTTTAATTATTGTACTTGTAGTCTTTATGTATCATTTCTGTTTCAGTTTTAGCTCTCAGAGAGCAAGCTTTCACTGTATAGTGTATAATAATGTGCTTCAAGGTATGAAGATATATCACCAACTCAGAGTTGATTATAACATTTTTAAAAAGAAAGATATTGACATTGACTTGTCCTTATTTGAAATGTTTTTATTATATAGAAACAGCACCTTCACTTTGGGATGTGGAATTTGCTCAGCAGTTAGCTGCAGTAAATGAACAGTCCTTTCAGAATGGTTTTGAAGAGATAATCCAGTGGACAAAAGAGGGGAAACTGTGGGAATTCCCAATTAACAATGAAGCAGGTAAGTTTAACTTCAGAGGTTTATAAAATTCACTGATTGAACCCTGCCAGCATGGCTTAGTGATTGAGCATCAACCTATGAACCAGGAGGTCATGGTTCGATTCCCAGTCAAGGCGCATTCCTGGGTTGTGTGCTTGATCCCCAGTGGGAGTGTGCAGGAGGCAGCTGATCAGTGATTCTCTCTCATCATTGATGTTTCTATCTCTCTCTCCTTCTCCCTTCCTCTCTGAAATCAATAAAAATATTTTTTTAAAAATAAAAGATTAGCTAAAAGTTGCAAACACCTCATTAATTCTTGGGAAAATGTAGTCCGTATTTTAACCTTTGTAGTTTTCTGCTGTTACTGTAATATTTTGATTTTTTTATAACCTTTCATTTGTTTGGACTAATAAGTAGAATGGAAGCTTAAATATCAGAAATAATCTTATATTTTCATAAAGTACTAGAGGCCCGGTGCATGAAATTCATGCACAGGTAGGGTCCCTAGGCCTGCCTGGCGATCAGGGCCGATCTGTGGGGTGACCGGCGAGGCAGTTGGGGGGCCCCCACTGGCACCTGCCTTGGCCAGCCTGGGGCCTCCAGGCTGGAGGCAGCTCCTGTGTTGAGCGTCTGCCCCTGGTGGTCAGTGTGCATCATAGAGACCTGTTGTTCCGTCGTTTGGTCGATTTGCATATTAGGCTTTTATTATATAGGATTACTTTTTATAATAAAACTTTAGAGACTTAGCAAATTCTTATATTTTGTATATGTGTATGGTATATACAGTAATATAGCATACTGGGTTTACTCTATTACACAACATGTATATTAAAGTTTTATGGTTTCTTTATTCTGTAAGGTATCAGAGTATAGTAAAAAAAAAACACACACACTCAAAAAAACAAAAAACAGAAAGTAAAAGTAGTTGTGCAAACCTGAGTATAGATCCTCAACTCTGTCAATTATTAGCCATTTGCCTTTGAGGAAGTTACTTACTTTGAGCCTTAGTTTCCTCATCTATAAAATTAAGGCTACCTCATTGGAAGACTATAAGAATTAAATAAGATAAAGTTATTGAGTTGCTCAGCACAGTTCTTGGCATGTAATGCATATGAATAAATGTTAGCTCCTTACCCCTCCTGTATGATCATAGAATTTTAAATGGAGTGAAAAACTTAGAAAATACAAGGTGTAGTATTAAGGGAAGATTTCATTATTTAATGACACTTGAGTTTTCTAAGTCTTCATGGTTAAACACGTTTTAAAACCCGGTATTGAGTCCTGGCTGGGTAGTTTAGTTGATTAGAGCATCCCCCGCATACACCAAGGTTCGATCCTCAGTCAGAGCATGTACAAGAATCAACCAGTGAATGCATAAATAAGTGGAACAACAAATCAGTGTTTCTCTCTCTCTCTCTCTCTTGATCTCTCTCTCTCTCTATAATCAATAAAAATTTTTAAAATGTTAAACTGAATATTGAGGTAGAATAACTTATGACTTTATTTAGATGAGACAAGTGAAGTATAGTTGATTAGGAGTTCAAGTTCCTAAGTGAGTTATAAACTTAATCTCTCCAAGCCTTGTCTCCCTCATCTATAAAGTGATGGGAATAATAATAGAACTTATTTTATAAGATTCATCTTAGAAACAAGTGAGATTATACAAGTAAAGCATCATCACTATCATCTGGCTTTCTATAACAACAATATTGTGAGGAGATATGCTGCTGTAACTATTTTCTGTTCTATACTGTAACCTTTAAAACTCTTTAAATATTAACAAGGATATTATGTATTTTCTAGGAACTGCCAACTAGGGTAATAGAAAAGCATGAATTGGTGGTTCATTGTCATCAACAGTAAATACTTAAGTTCATTAAAATCCCGAGTCCCTACTCCAAAGGAATTTATCTGAAATTTGACCTGGTTTTTGAATGTTTAATCTATAATAACAAAAGCTTAATATGCAAATCAACCGAACAGCAGAACAACCATCCAGACGACCTTCTAGACTACCACGCTATGACACCACGGGCGCCAGGACAGCCAAAGCAGGTGCGATGCGATTGTTCAGGCCATTGCCCCATGATCACCCTGCAGAGGGAGGCCCAGGCCACTGGCCGATGGGG